AAAAAAAACCCCCCCAAAAAAAAAAAAAAAAAAAAAAAAAAAGAAGAAGAAGGAAAAATCAATTGCTATGAGCAGCTCTGGGGAATCCTGCAGGCAGGCGGGTGGAGAACACTGCAGAGCCTGTGCTCTGCCCAGCAGCGCTCACCCTACCCCGAGGGCACGGAGTGGGGGTGCCAGCGGGCACCAACCCCGGCATTCCCGTCCCATTTCAGACTGGCCATACAGAGAAATTCCCGGCCTTGCTGCTGGCCCCACAGCCCACCCCCAGCGCAGGGAATCCTCACCGGGCTCTGCTCCTCGGTCTGGCCGGGCGCGGCGCTGCCGCCGGAGCCGACGGACGCGGGGCTCCCGGGCAGCTCCCGGCGGGATGGAGCCCGGCGATGGCTGGGCGAGCGGCCGGGGCTGCCGGGATCCGAGGGTGGGTCCTGCGGGGAGAACAGCTCTGTGGGAAGCAGGAACCCCTCTGAGTAGGAGGGCAGGATCCCTGGGGAGCCACCACCACCAGCGCCCTGAATGAGGAGCATCCGCTCTGTGCTCTGCTCCCCCGGATGAGAAACGGCCCCGGTTTTTCTCTTTGAACAAAATGAGAGGTGGCAGCAGGTTCAGAGGACACTGGTGGCCACGGATGCCTTCAAAAGCAGGGATGGGGATCAGCACACATGAGGAGCTGAGACAGGGCTGCCATTTCAGAGGCAAGGCCACCCCTCAGCTCTTGCACTCCCATTCAACCAGGTCTGTGACTTTTTATCAGCACAATGAGTGGCTTTCATAAGCATCATTTTCTGCAGAAATTCCTCCTGATCTTCCTTTCAGGGCTTGTATTTTCTTAGGAAGTGGCACAAAAAAACTTAATTATCTTTCTCTCCCCTCAGTCTTCTAAAAAAGGAATAATCACATCCCCAAAAACATCTTCTCTACTAAGAACAGTGGCGGCTGGGATCAAGTTCTGTCATGTGTTCCTCAGTCAGGAAAGGCTGTACCAGAAGCATGTGGCAGTTCCATTGCAAAGACTGGAATTCAGCGATGCCCTGCACTAAGGTGAGTTAAAATTGAGGCTGCTTGAGGGCCAGGCAGGGCAGGGAGGGGCTCCAGGCCTGGGGCTGGCAGGGCCAGGGTGTGCCATGAGGCTCCTGCCACCTCCACCCACAGGAGCTACCAGCAGCAAGCCCAGCTCCATGGAGCTCCCATCCCAGCTTATCAGCCTCCCCATATGGGATGCTGCAGCAGAGGGGCTGAAAGGGGATTGTGAAGCAGAGCCAAGCCTGTGGCTGGCAAAGCTGAGCCTGGCTGGCACAGCCTTCCCAGAGCAGTGGGAGTGGAATCAGTCTTGGCTGGCACAACGCACTGAAGCAGGGCTGGCACGTGTCCTGGCTGGCCACTGCTGCCCAGCAGCAATGAGCTGGAGCCTAAAGAACCCCAAAGCAGAGGAACCAGAGTCCTAAACCCAACAACTGCAGCTGGAGCAGGATGCCTTGCCAGGCTCCAGGGGCTTACCTCATCCACCACCAGGTTGCAGTCACTCTTTTCCCCATCGCTGTCCTGTGAGGAGGGGGAAATCCAGAAGAGCTCAGTCAGGACAGGGAGATGTTGGACCAGGCTCTGTGTTCTGCACCAGGACCCCAGAGGGACCCATTTTCTCCTGTACATCACTCCCTGGACCAACACCAGCCATGTCCTGCTGGCAGTGACCCAGCCTCGGGCTGAGGGGCCTCCCTAGGGCTCCTCATTTGCTTTGTTCTTGCTCCCAGGACAGCAACCCTGTGCAGCAGGGGGCACAGGGCTGCCCAGCCACATCCCCAGCCCAGCCCTGCCAGCCCCAGCCCTTGGGGCACTCACAGAATGCCCAGGCAGCTCCTTCTCCTCCCGCTTCCTCTTCAGCCCCGTGTGCTCCTCGGCCTGCAGGCTCTCGGCAGGAGAAGAAGAAACGCTCTGAGGCAGAGGGAGAGAAAGGTGTGAGAGCCACTGTGAGGGCAGGCAGCCACTCCTCAGCTCTCAGTGGGGCCAGGCTCTGCTCCATGACCACCTCCATCCTGCCAAAGTATCCCCCTGGCTGCTGGGAAGGACCCCAGAATCCCAAAACCCAAAGCCAAGCGAGGGAGATCCACCCCTGCAGAGACAACGAACCAGGGTGGAGCAGAAAATCCCCGCTGGAGCTGTGTTTACTTCACCTCAACCCTGCCACGAGGCTTGGGAAGCAGAATGGGACTGAGCAGGAAGAACAGTCCTCCCCCAGGTGCTGCTGGCAGCTACAGGGGTGTCACACAAGCCCTGGCGTCCCCACACTGGTGACAATCAGCCAGAAGGTGACAGAGATGCCCCATGCCAGGGCTCCCTGTAGCTGACTGCTCCCAGCACAGGCAGATCAGCAGCACTGACACTGAGCCAGGGGGCAGAAAGAGCCATCCCTGTCCCCCAGGCCATCTCTGGAGGAGGTGCCTGGGCAGTGATGGCATCACAGACACCTCCTCTCCTACAGATCAATGCCTCCTATTCCCCAAGGAGACCATTAACCCTTCCTTTACCCTGGACTCTGCAGAGCTACTGTGGAGCCTGGGAAGGGAGTCACAGCTCTGGGACTGGGGGGGATCCTAAAAGGGAGGGGGCAGCCAAGGACTGCAGAGGGGCTGAGAGCTCTGAGACCTGTTCAGCATGATTCCTAAACTGGAAACTCCTTGAAAAGGACAGAGCTGGTTATTTTGGGAGCAGCCCTTGATCTTTAGCTCCTTGCATCAGCAAAGACTGAATTGAGGTGGCCCAGAACCTTCAGTTACAAAACCCTGATGCAAACACAGCCCACCCCAGCAAAGCTCACCCAGCAGCCCCATCCCCTCCCAGGAGCCAGCTTGGAGCTGCCATCAGGAGATGCCATCAGTGCCAGCTGAGACCACTGGCCTGTCACCACTTACCCTGCTTGGGGTGTGCTCTGGGTCCAGGCAGCAGCAGGGAGAGCAGCCCAGGTCCATGTCAGAGCAGAGGGGAGGACAGGGAGAGGTTGTTAATGCCAAGCCTGTGCCCCACACACCCAGGGAGGAAGGAGAGAGGGGCACAGCAGGGCAAACCAGGAAACAGCAGGAGACAGGTTTAAAAACAAACAAACAAAAAATCACACCTGCTTTCCCACTTTGCCCACCTGAAGTGTGGATTCTCAGTTCTCTAATGGGAGGTCAGCACTTTGGTGTTCCTCAGGGAATATCTACCCACCCACCTCCTTCCAAGAGCTTATCCCAGCTCCAGAATCCCTTCCCTAGACATGACAACAGATCCAAAGGCCCCAGGAGGGGAGAGCTGGCCAGCTGAGATCCCCTGAAACACACCCATCCCATTTCCTTAGGAAGCCATGCCTAAAAGCCCTGTTTGAAAACTCTCTGAGGCTTCTGTATATGCACAGCAAAGCAGGTCCACTTCCCTGAGCCCAGGGAAGGAGTGCCAGGCATTTACTGCAAATCCAAGCACAGGGTTGTGGGCTGGGCTTCAGCAACCTTCCCTGGCTGATTTTTGCTCCTAAAGATCCACCAGCATTTAGAGAGAACGAGTCCAGGTCCCTGCTGGCAAAAAGAGGCAGGCAGGGATGGGAAGCTGAGGGATTCTTGTAGGCACTGCTCCAAGGCCGTGGTCTGGAGTGGGACCAGATGCCAGCCCTGTGCACCCCTGGCTCAGCTTGACTCACATCAGCTCTGGTTAACTATGGCAGGGCACTGAGGATTAACCCCAGACAGATGGAGCATTTCAACTTTTTTTTTTTTTTTTTTTTTTAATAAGGAATGGCCCTCACCATGGCCAGACACCCAGGCTGAGAGAAGTTCTGGCTGGAGGCTGTCTGGGCTCTGAGGGTTAAGCAGGCTCAGCACAGCACAGCCTGCTTTTATTCTCTCTCTCTCTGGACTTTGTTTTCCTCCTTTGTGGAAGCCATCCTTAAAGAAACACGGGCAGGATTTGAGCTGCAGGCAGCTGTGTGCAGGGGGGCAGAGCTGCCACCGACAGCTTCCTGCTGCTCTTTTCACCACCTTGAAATCCTACAGGCCAAGCCAGACCATGAGAACCTGAAGCAAACCCCACCCAGTGCCTGGCTTTGCTGCTGCTCTTGGGTCCTGACCCAAGTGCATTTCAGTCAGCACCTTCCCCAGGGGAATCTGCAGGGAAACATCACTCCTGCTGAATCTGGCTGCCTCTTTCTAGCCCACAGAGCTGCCCAGAGCCTCTCTCCTTGTCCCAGCCTCCTCTCAGCACCACCACTCCATGCCTGTGCTCTGAAAAGGTGACTTGAGCCCAGAGCAGCTCCTCCTTTGTGCAGCCCTTGAGCAGCAACAGGCCACGAGCAGAGCTGGGCAGAGTCACTAATTTGGCCCAGGCCTGCCAGTAGCATTCAGAGCACTGATTTAACAATGATTAAATATTGATGATGTTTGGAAGGCACTCGCTGATCCTGACAGGAGGAGGCACCCATCTGGACTAGGAATTAGTGTAATTTACGCTGCACAACACACGCAATGAGGCTCTGCTTTCTAAATTCCTTGCCCCAGGCTTGTGGCTGTCACAGTATCTACCAGGGGCTGGCAACAGTCTTTTCCTTAAAAGTCTCATCTTTAAGTATCAGATCTTGGTGTAAAAAGAGAGGATTTCTTTGTGGAGGGGATCTCCCAGCTGCCTCATGGAGGAGGGGACCCACATGCACTGGAAACACCCAGGGGAGCAGGGAGAGCTGTGTGTGTGCACAAACACTTGCCCAGGGCCAGGGCTGCACACACAGCATCACTGCAGAGCAGTCACAAACAGAGCCAGCCTCCTGGGGCTGCAGGCATTCCATGAGCTGGATTTGCCATCCCCGGGGATGCAGCAGCCAGGAGCCTCAGCACAGAGGCACAGCAGCATCCCTGCACACGCTGCCCAGCCTTTAAAGGGTTAACCCAGCTGCGCTTCTCCCCCTTACCTCTGTTCTCCCCATCCTGGGCCACTCTGTCCTCCTTGGTGGCCAGCTGAACCTGTGCCATCAGTGCCCCCGAGAGGGCCAGGAGCCCCGCGGTGCCGCTCAGGCTGGGGGGCTGCATGCTGGAGGGGTGGGGTGTCAGCGGGAGGGGGGATGCGTGCTGCGAGAGGTGCTGAAGCTGCTGCTGCTGAAAGAGAAAGAGCAAATGGTCCTGGATGTGGAGGAGGCAGCCGCAGCCATGGCCGGGTCCTCCCTCCCCTCCCCGCGGGCTGCGATGCAAAGCGCGATGGGATGAGACAGGGACATGGATGGGGCAGCAGAGCTCTGGGGGCTGCGCAGGCTGGCTCACACCCCTGCCCCTTCCCCCGGGGCTGTCTGGGCTCTGAGGGTTCAGCAGGCTCAGCACAACCTCTTTTATTCTCTCTCTGGAATTTGTTTTCCTCCTGTGCCCCATCCACCCTGTGAGTCCCTCCGTGCTGCACGACCCCAAGCCATGGCTGTGCCCTGCTCTGCTCAGGGGGTGTCCCACAGGGCACCCAACACCTTCAGGACACCGTGGCAAATTCCTCCATCACAATGGGTGTATCAAAATAGTAAAAACCCTAAAATAGTAAAAAATGGGTGTATCAAAAGAGCAAAAAACCTGACCTCCCCCATCACTGCCTGAACCCCCAGGCAGGGAAGAGTCTTTGCCCACAGCCAGGCAGTGCAACTCACCCCAACGATGCTGTTGAGCTCGCCCATGGTCACCTGCTTGGCCCGTTCCACTGCCTGCAGGACCTGCTGCTGGTGCTGAGGAGGAAGAGCACGGGGGTGGTCACACCCTGCTCCTGGCTGGAGGGAGCTCTTGGTTCCATACTGCCCCACCCTTCCCTGCACAGCCCCTTCTCCCACCCCTCCAGCCAGGCATGCAGGTTTTTTTCCCCCAAAACCTCCTGTTGTTCAGGCTGGACTTTGATTTGCCCCTTCCCAAGAAGCCAGAGCAATCTGCTGCATACCCCCTGCCTCCTCCTTACCTCCTGCGTCAGGAAGGGAATAATCTGGGCACAAATGGCACTCAGCCTCTTGACAATCTCTGCCTGAAGGAGGAAGCACATATCAGCAGGTATCACCATGGATGGAGGGCTCTGAGCCCCATCCTGTCCCCCCCCTGCAAACACTCATCCTCTGCAGAGGAGTCAAACTCTCCCCACCCACGGAAATTCTCCTGCTGCCTCTGCATCCCTGCTGGGATTTCCCGAGCTGCTGCCAAGGGAGGGCTCTGCCAGGCACATGGGAGGGACCCCAGGCCTGAATCCCTGCGTGGCCCCAGGCCAAGGCAAGCTCCAAGCTGTCAGTCCTTCCGCAGCCCAGCTGGCTTTGCTCAGCCCAAACCCATCCCGGCTTTGCGGGCAGGGACGGAGGGGAGCCGAGCCACAGGCGCTGGCAGAGGGCCCTCCTTGTGCCTTCCCTTCCCAAACATCCAACTCAAAGCCAGGGCAGAGCAAGCAGGATGCAGAACTGCACAGATTCAGCCCTCTTGGCATGGCACCAGCAAATCCCTCAAGGCTCTGCTGGTCGTACCTGCCCTGACCCGGAGCAGGACTCCACTCTCAGCCCCATCAAGCCCTGGGACAGCTCCCCGTGCCCCTTCAGAGGCACAAAGCACCCCAGAGCTGCCCGTGTCCACAGGGGAATGCAGAAAACCCGGTGCATCCCCGGAGGAGAGGCTCTGTGGTTGCAGACAAACCCACAGCGTTCCCACCAGGGCAAGCGGCAATTCCGAGGAAAGGGGCTGCGACTTCCAGCCCAGCCTCTCCAAGAGAAAACCCACATCTCCTGGGGAAAACTGGATCCCCCACTGCTGTAAATCCAGCCCGGGACTGGCTGCTCTGAAGGGTTTTATCAGCTCAGGTTTCTGACAATCCCCGCCGGTGCTGCAGAGGTCAAAGCAGGCTGGGAGCCAAGGGAGAACAAAGGGAACATTTACCTGCCTGCCCCACACCCAGCAGGTCCCAGCTGCTCTCCCAGCCACTGCCACCGTGCCCACAGAGCCAGAGACCCCCTCCTGCCCAGGCTCCCACTCCTCAACCACTTGGCCACCACCCCTTGGGCAGAGTCCCCGGTTCCACCTGGCTTGGGCCACCCCTGGCTCCCAGCCCCACCGGATTTTGGGGCATGTAAGGGCGGCAGGAATGTGCTCGTGGTCCCCACCATGCTCCCTGCTAACAAAAGGAGCAAACTCGGAGGGGCTGAGCCAGCTGGAGGGATATGGCAGTTGACTTGCCACTTTGTCAGGCATTGGTCCAAACTAATTTCCCTGGCAGAGAGCCCATGATGACTAGATTGATAAATCTGAAGAGGGAAAGCAAATTAAGGCAGGAACAAAAGGGGAACCAGGGAAGGGTGAAAACACTCCTCTGGCTTTGGGAAAGGAAAAGGGGATTAAGGAAAAAAGAAAAGAAAGACAATCCATTTGCCTCTGGGCTCTAGCTCCTGCTGTTTCCTCCACATCCCTCCTTCAAGTGGGGCCCCAGGGAAGCACTGCAGGGAGGCACCAGGGCTCACAGCAGGGCTCTGAGTGGTTCTCTTTGGGATGGGGAACTCAATAACACATCCTGACAACTGCTGCATCCCTTTGCAAGCCAGTCCCTCGCACAGAGCTGTGTCACTTAGAGCCATTAGAGCTACACATGCTCAAGGAAGATCATTTTCCAACAAAATCTCCAACCTCAGCCTCTTCCCCACCTCCCCTGCTGCTGTCCCAGCCCCCCTGCACTTACCTGCTTGTGCATTTCAATGTTCAGGCCGTAGGACATCTCGTAGTACTGAGAGGAAAACCACAGCACAGCCTGGTTAGGAGCTGTCCAGAGCAACTGGCCCAGGACCAGCCTGGGGTTTGGCTGGCTCCAGCCCACGAGGAATGGCTGGGACACTGTGCCAGGAGCCTGGGACAAGGCAGGCAGCAGGCACAGGCTGTTTACACCTGCAATTTGTTTAAGCCAGGGGAAGCCAGTCCTGCTGCCCCCCAGATCCTGTCCTGGCTCTTGGAACCCGTTACAGGTTTCACCCTTCAGCAGCCACCAGTGATTCTGCCAGGGGTGCTGACCCCAATCCCCCCCACCTGGGCAGAAAAGGGCACCAGAGGACCTGCTGTGCTCCAGCAAAGCCTGTTCCAAAGGTAGCAATGCACTTCTGGAAATCCCTTTGAGCCCCCAGGAAGTGGGGAGGGATCCCAGCTGATGGGTGAGAGGAATGTGCCCTGCAATCACACCCAGCCTCACAGGCAGGGCTGTATTCACCCCCGGGATGGGCTTTGCCCAAATTCACATCTTTTTGCCTCTTGGATGGTGTCACCTGGGTTCCCCCTTTCCCCAGAGGAGCCAGTAATGTCAGATGCTGAAGGAGAAGGAACTGCTCTGCTGTCCCCATCCTCTTCCTCCCAGCAGCTCCCCTGCTCCTGGCAGGCTCTGGCTGGTGCCCAGCTCAGTCTGTCCTGGGGCCTGTTAACCCCTCACTGGCAACTGTGGAGGGCTCCTGCCCTGCTCCTTCCCCTTCCACCCAAACCACGAGCCTCGGAGCATCAGTTCTTAAATATCCAACCCTTGGGAGAGAAAGGGGGAGGAGCTGGGAGCTCTCTTACAAGGCCAGATAGAAAAAGGTTTAAAAAAAAAAAAAAAAAGGAACACAACAACAAAAAAGAGACAAAACCTATGGCAGGATTCCCGGGCTCAAGCAGCACTGAGCGGCAAGAGCCAGCGTTGCTAGAAATGGTGATTAACTCCTTCCTCTCCAGCCCAAGGTCAGCACTGGGCAGGGCTGAGAGGAGCCCCAGCAGCCAGATCCGTGTGAGGGCAGCAGCCCAGGGGGACAGCCCTTCAGGGGGCAGGGGGACACGGCAGGGCCAGCTCACCATGACATAATGTCTCTGCATCTCTGTCTTCTCGCTCACCAGCTTCTCGCATTCCAGCTTCAGGCTGCAAAGGGGAACCAAGGCTTCCATTCGCGGACCCGCAGCTCCTGCCCCATCCCTGGGGCAAGCTCAGCACATCTCCTGCCTGCCCCTGCGGGCTCCCGGCGTGTCACACACCCTCCCCGGGGCACCTGCACCCCACGGCCGTGCTGTGCACACACCTGTAGCTCCCACCCAGAGCTCTGTGCCCTCCCTGCCCAGCCAGAGGAAACAGCTCATCCTCCCTTGGGACCCCCGCTCAAGACCTGGCACCCCAGCTGTGGGCTTCACGCTATCCCTCTCCCCTTCCTCCCTCCCTCCCCAGGCTCCTTCTCTCCTCCTCCTCCTCCTTCCCCACTTTCCCCGCTGCTCGAACGCTCCATCCCCCCTTATCCCACCGCCCCTTCCCCACCTGTGGTACTGCGCCTGCAGGAACTGAAACTCCTCCTTGATGCGGTCGCAGATTTCCAGCACCGAGAACTTGAAGGGCTGCCCGGGCTGCACCGGGGGCTGCGGAAAGACAGCCCGGCTGGAGGCTGCGGCTCGGCCCCCCCGGCCCGGCCCGGCCCCGCCGCCCCCGCGGCACTTACCGGGTGCCGTCCCTGTGGGAACATCCTGAGCGCCCGGGCTCCCGGCCCGGCCCCGCCGCTCCCGGGGCGCCGCTGCCCGTCCCTCCCGCGGGGGCGGCTCCCGCCAGGGCTCGGTGGGGAGCCGGGGTCTCGCCGAGCGGCTCCGCCGGGGCGCGGGCGGCGGTCCCGGGGTCTGAGGCGGTCCCTGAGGCGGCCCCGGTGGGGGGGAGCGGCCGCCCGGCCCCGCGCGCCCCGGCCGCCCGCGCCCGCTTAAGGAGGCGCGTTCCCGCGGGGCTCGGGACAGCGCGAGCGCGGCACCGGAGCTCCCGCGCCTCGGCGGCCCCGCGGCCACAGTGGCGATGCCGCAGAGCGAGGGGAGCCCGGGCAAGGCGCCGGCACTGGAGCCGCCGCTGCTGTCCCGAGCGGAGCCGCTCGGGAGGCGCCCGCCCGCACGGCCGCCCCGGCCCGGGGCTCACCGGGCGCTTCCCCCGGCCCCGCCACGCGTGCGGCACCCAGCGCGGTCCGGAGCTTCCCACTTCCCCGGGGCAGCCCGGTCCCCGGGGGGCGACGCCGGGCACTGCCACCGCCCCCGACGCTGCGGGCGGACACGGCACCGGCCGCCGGCGGGGCAGTGCCCGGGGTCGGACATCACAAACGAGTGCAGCCGCACAGTGCTCACCTGGGGCCGGGGACCCCAGGGGCAGCGGGCCCCGGTGCACGGTCGGGCCGGGGTCCCTGGGGACCAGCCCCCGGTGTGCCCGGGGCAGCCCCACCGGGAGGGGCGGGCACGGCGAGACTTCCCCATCCCGTCCCCTCCGCCCGCTCCACCTTAACCGGCCCCGCAGCCCGCAGCGGCGGCGCTCGCACCGGCCATTGGCTGCCACTGCGGGAGCGCCAGCCAATCGCCCTGCGCGGTTCCCACATGGGCTCGTGACGCCAGAGAGCGGAACGACCAATGAGAAGTGAGCGGGCGGCCGAATCCCCCAGGGAGGCGCCGCGGGGCACGCTGGGAGTTGTAGTCAGCCCTCGGCTACGCCCTCACGGCGGCGGCGCCCCGGGCCGGTCCGTGCGCTCCCTGCCGCCGCCGCGGGCCCGGGGAGCGGCCCGGCGCGGGTCTGCCGCGGGCCCGGCCCAGCGCCGCTAACATGCGGGGCTCCCACCGCGGGCAGCACGGGGCAGGCAGACTGCGTGGCCCACGAGGCCTTGCGGCTGCCGCCAGCTGCCACTCAAAGTAACGTGGGGCGGTGAGCGGCGGCTGAGGCGGGCGGGCCGCGGGCCGGGCGGGCCCGGAGCCGCCGGGCTCGGGCTCCGCGGGGCTGCCCCGGCCGGGAACCCAGCGAGCGGCCCTTCCCGCTCCCCCGCGAGCCCTCCAGGCGCGGCTGCCGTGCAGTCACCGCGCTCGGGGGCGGTAAACGCGAGTGAGGAGCAACCTTTAAATATTGCAGGACCCAGCTGTACCTGGGCGCTGCGCGGGCAGGCACAAGGTTAAATATTTAATGCCTCACATTTCATCCTGATATTTTATTCATTGTGTTATTTACGTGCTGCATGCTGGCAGCAGGGGCAGGGACGAGGTGCTGGGCACTGGAGGCTCTCCCTTTTCTTGCCCCCGTGCCATCCATCCATCCATCCATCCTCCATCCATCCATCCATCCCTGGTGCCTCTCGTCCCCAGCCAGGCCTGGGGGCTCTCCCGCAGTGGCCAGGCTGGCCCCAGACCCTGTCAGTCCCAACAAGGAGCCAGCCCAGCCCCAGCAATTCCCCCTTTACCTTTCCCTGGCCCAGGTGTTCTCTGGGCAGATCCACTGAGGCAGGCAGGGATGGACAGCAGCTTCAAACCCTCCAAAACCCTCCTTTCTGTGCAGGCACGTAAATGTTTTCTGTGTTTGCATCGTATATCTGCATATTTTAATCCAAATGTAAAGTTTTAAAGGTTTTGTTTTGTTTTGTTTTGTTTTTTTCTGTGTGTTACCTTACTGGGAGAGTTGAGGTTTTTTTGGTTTTTTTTTTTTTTTTAAGGAAAGTGTATTTTCAAAGGCTGGAAACATTTCAGATCGTGTTTCAAGGGAAAGATAGACCGGGGAGATGTTTTGCAGCATTTTTCAAAACTCCTTTCTGAAAATTGCCAGTTTTCCTTCGGCAATCTCTGTGCTCCTGTCTCAGGAGAGTGACACAGGTAAACCTGGAGCAGGCAGCTCCGGAGTGATGGGTGTCACACGTGCCTTCATCAGCCTCCAGCAGTGACTGACACGAGCCCTGGAGCAGCACAGCCTGTAACCCAGAGATTAATTTGTGTTTGGACCGGAGAAAACAGCAGCAGTTAACCCTTGGCACGCCCAGCAGCAAGAGGAGATGGTCCTGCTGCTGTCCCCCGGGCATGGGGACCGTGCTGGGCAGTGGCCACAGCCCGGACCTGGCTGTCCCCACTGCAGGATGCTCAGCCACCCCCTGCAGCAGCCACAGCTCGTGCCTGGTGCTGGCAGGGCCTGGAGGAGCCCCAGGGGATGAGGGTGTTTGAAATCCACGCTGGGATCAAGAGGGAAATGCTCTGAAGAGCAGCAGAGAAATCGAACCAACGCAGGCTTTGGGACACCCAGGAGCTCCATCTGAAAGTGGATCCCAGCAAGAGATGCTGCTGCTGCTGCTGGAATTTCCCCAGGGATTTTGCTTTTCAGCTCCTCCCTGGATGCCAGCCTGGCACAGGGGAGCACAGGGCAGCTGTGGATGCTCAAGGGCAGAGCCCACCTCGTTTTGCAGAGACACCAAGGGTGGCTGTGGCTCACCAAACCACCCCATTTTCAGCTTGCCTACTTGAATGAGGAGGCATGAACTCAGCAGAGAGTGGTTCCTGGCACCCTCAGACAATGTGAATCTCCCAGGGCAGCTGGCACCAACAGGGACCTCATCCTGGCTGGAGTCAGTCCTGGAATGAGCATGAGATGGGCAGGGGAACCGAGGAAAGGATCTGGCAGCAAACCAGCGAGATCTAAGCCAAAGCTGCACTGCAAACCGAGGTTCCCAGCTCTCTGAGCTCCACTTCCAGGACCAAACTGCAGCTCCTCGTCCCCAAACCCCAGTGCTGGTGCCCACTCTCCGAAGCCACATGTCCCTTGGGGACAGGTGTCCCCTCCAGGTGTCCCTGTTCCAGGGGCTGCAAAGAGGAGTGGGAGCCCTCAGAGCAGCCCAGCAGCTGACAGACTCTGCTCTCTGCCTTCGATCTGTGTGTTGGCTCCTGTTTGCACTTACCACTCTGAGTGGTTTTTAATTATTGATGCCTCCTTTAGCTTTTATCTGGTGCTCGCTGCAGCCAGGAAGAGCTCGGCATTCCTGCATTAGCGGGATTCCTGCTCCTCCACCATTCCCGTGCTGTTGTTTCAGGCAGAGCTGGGCTGGAAAATGAGGAGAGTGGGAGCCAGGGGGATGTGCCAGAGGCGACTCTGACTCCCACCGGGGGTTCAGTCCTGCAGGAAGGGCCCAGACAGTGAAAAACTGCCAGCTGCTGTGCATGCAGGGGGAAGGAGGCTGGGCTTGACCCTGCGGTGCCAGGCAGGTGGAAGGGAGGAGATGGGTGACAGCAGAGTTTTGTCAGACCCCTGGCAGCTGTGAGCAGGAATCCGTGCCAAGCCTGGGTTAATGCTGAGCTGCTTGGTGGTCAGGACATGGGGCACTGCCAGCTGGGGTCCTGCCCTCTGTGCCCACAACAGCTTCTGTTGAGAGGTGTCACTGCATCTTCTCTACCCACCCTTTACAGTCAGGGCTCTGCTGAGTTTTCCCAAGGATCCTGGGGCAGCAGAGCTGGTTCTCAGACCATCAACCCTGGCACCATGAGCTCTGGAACACCAGGAGAAAGGGCTCCTCTGCCAGGAGCCAGTCTCAAATCACCCCTGAGCAGCTCTGGGGCCCCTTGTCAGCTGTGTCCTTGCAAGTGCTGAGCTGTTCTGCAGGGCCTGAGAGGGGCTCCTGCCTTCTGAGAGGTTACAAGGCTTGTTTGGAAGGAGAGAAGCTGTTTCCTCAAGTCTGCAGCTACTGAGAGAGTCATGAGAGAAGTATTTTTAACCCTTTTCTTTGCTGTTGGTGTGGGTTAGATTTGCAGTTTGTGTGCAGTTAAGATTTGAGCCCAAATCTGGGAAGGTTCCCTATGAAACGACTCCCTTTGGAGAGTGGCACACAGAGGCAGGCTGGAAGCACAGGGAACAACCCTGCTCCCCAGGAGGATGGGAAATCAGGGTGCCCCCCAAACTGCAGGGAAATGCTTTGGGAATGGAACATCATGGGAGGCAGGAAGGGAGCACAAGGCTCAGCTCAGCACCTGCTGGGAGGTGCAGGGGATTTGGAGAGCCCAGAAGTTTTCTGTTTGTACTTTAACAGAGGGTTGGTCCCCCAGAGGGAGCGGGGAGCTCCCCACAGCCCAGGGCAGAGCAGCCCCCAGCCCCAGTGCCCCGTGGTTTGTCCACCTCCCTGCCCAGTGAACTGAGGCTGCTGATCAGCTCCAACAAGAGCTGTTCCTGTAAGCAGCCCTGAACAACTTCTCCTAAATCCTCCTCCCTTGCATATCCATCAGGAGTAACATTCCCAGGCTGAGTCTGAGCTGGTGGCCTGCAGTGGAAGCCCTGGGGAAGCTCCCTGTGGGTTCTGGGCACTGCCAGGGCAGGGATGGGTTTAGAGCTGCCCTTGCAGCAGCCCAGGCTGGAGCTGTGCTGTCCTTTCACACCAGGGACCTGCTGTGCTGGATTATGTTCTTTTCTGCTCAGACAGAGGTGCTTTAAAAACTTTTCAGTCTCATTTGAAGGGTGAGACAATACAGATGTTACAATTCACACCATCACAATCAGAAGCTATTTCCTAATTACAATACACTATAAGTGTTTTTTGGCTTTTTGTATTTTGACTTCTGTCAAGTTTTTAAAATTTTCTATTTCCCACGCTGCTGGGTGTCAGCAGAGACCCCAGAGCCGCTGCAGGACCCTGGGGTGGGATGGGCAGAGTTCCAGCAGCTCTGGAGGGAGATTCCCAGGCCGTGCCAGGGCTTGGATGGGTCTGCCTGGTGCTGCAGCCCCCAGGGCTCAGGGCAGCCACTCGGGAGCTGCCCCAGGGAGCAGCAGGTGCTCAGTTTGGGAGGGAACAGGGCTGAGACCCCCTTGCAGAGCCTGGGCCACCAGCCAGAGCTCAGTGGCCACCACAGCCGTGCTCCTGCACAGAGCCTGGCTCCTGCCAGCCTGCTCTGGGCACCCTGCCCCAGGTGTGCCCAGCCAGGATGGGGCTGAGCAGGCAGGTAACAGCAGCACTGCCAAGCCCTGGTGCTGCCCACAGGCTCTGTAACCCTCCAGCCCCTCCACACCTCGGTGCTGGGTGCTCCAGGGCTCCCCCAGCACGATTCCTCCCCAGAGGAAGGAAATTTTCCCACTCCAACTGGCCTAAGAGATATCGAGGGGAAGATGTTATCAGGGTGGAGCAGGCTCTGAAGCCAGAGGACAGCTCTAATTATCGAGAGCCAATTCCATTACAGCAATCTCAGCCCCAGGGCACCACAGGCCGGATTTTCCAGAGGGGCCTGAGAGCCACAGAAGAAGCTTATCCTCTGTGCCCAGAGGAAAAATGAATTATGCACACGCAGAGCAGACCTGTGGCAGCCCCAGGGACCTCCACCTGTGTTACCAAAGCAGCACAGAGCTGATAGACCTCGGGGGCACTTCGCTCCTTGCTTTTCTTCTGGAGAGTCCCCTGCTCCCTTTTCACCACCCACCACTTTCACCTTGAGCTCGTTTGTTCTGGCTTTGCTCGGGAATCCTCCTGGCCCTGGTTCCAGCGGATTGCAGCTGTGGCACAGCCCTCACCTCTGCAGGGGTGCCCCAGAGCCACAAAGGCCACAGCGATGGCCCCATCCCACCAGCCCCTACAAGAATGCCAGAGGCAGAGGTGTGAACGTTAACCCTGCTCCAGGGAGGGAGAGCAGCACATCCAACAGGAAAGGAATGATCTGGGATATGCTAGCACCTGAAGGAAGGAGGATTGCTCCTCCAGACACCTCCCACAGCACAGGTGAACCAGGAAAACTCAGTTCTCCCCAGCTGAGTCCCCCATCTGAAGGGACAGGAGACGCAGGAAAGTATTTTAAAGTCATCCCAAAGGCAACAAGAAAGCAGCAGCAAGTCACGGTTTTAACCAACCTTCTTATTTCTTTATTTGAAAGGCACAGCTTGTACGTCCTTGATACAGCATTTTCAGTTCCTCTTATTATAGGTCAAGTGATTAAACACAAAAAGCAAAACAAGATCTTTCTAAAGAACTATATACAAACACCAGATTATTATTTATTATTTTTTTTTTCCATTTTTGTTTTTTAAGAAGACACGCTAGCGCACGGAGATAAGAACAGAGAAAGCTGCTGTATCCTCTACACAGGGCAGGGGCACGGGGAGGGGGAGGCTGGGGAAGGCTCTCGGTCTGCCTGCCCCCTCTGCCCCCGCAGCCCAGTGCTGTGCTGAGGGGGAGCAGGTGGCACAGGCTCCCCCTCCAGCCCAGGGTGAAGCCCCTGGCAGCCAGAGCTGCTTGAGAACAGGTACATGCAGAACAGCAAGGCTGTTATTAGGCCTGGTATTAGTGCAGGTGGGGCGTGGGGGACACGGGGCCAGGGCGATGCCACGAGACCAAGAGCGCCTGGGGAAGGGAGGAGATTGTTCTGGGCCAGGGATCCTAGCAGGGAGTTGTGCAGAACCGTTAGGATCAAGGGGCAATCTTTAAATACCGAGGGGGGAGCAGCAGGTGGAGGGAGGGGGCCACATGGCACCGAGGAGCTGGGACAGCCAGGGGGCAAAGTGGCCCCAGAGCGGCCCAAGCCAGGCTCTGTGAGTGGGAGGAGGGACAGGGAAGGCAGGCTGGGCACGGGGAGAGCACGACTGGCCACACGGGTAATGCTATGGCGCTTGCATTGCCGTGCAGCAGCCGGGGACGGCGCTGGGGACACCCCCAGGCCCTGGGGACAGGCCTGGCAAGCTGCCACCGAGCACAGGTCACCACGGCCCTGCTGCACAGCAATTAGAGAGAGATACTGCATTTTGCACTAACCCGCCCCCTCCCTCCCTCCCTCCCCCAGCCAGCCCCCTTCCCCCGGCCCCCCGGTCGCTCTAATCCGATTTCTCGCCGTCATCATCTTGGTGGGCATCACCGTCGTGGCCGTTCTTGTCCTCCTTGGAGAGGTGAGCCTGCGAGCCCAGGGCCGAGAGCGACAGGAGCCCGGTGCCGGCGCTGACAGCGGGGAGCGACGGGGGCTGCAGCCCCACGGGGAGCGGAGTCAGAGGCAGAGCGAGGGCTTGGAGCTGAGACAGCTGGTGAGCTTGAAGCTGCTGCTGTAGGGAACGATGGACAGACACACAGACACAACGGGGGTATTGTCATTTTGAGTGCACTCGGTCGGAGTGTGCCAGCAACCGAGCTTAAAGCAGGGGTTTAAATAAGCTTAAACCTCAGGGTTGGGTCGGAAAAGAGGTTCTCGAGTCCTGCTGCTGTGACAATCTCAAGAGAAGACTCAACACTGTGTCCCCAGCAGGACACACAGCCCCTGGCCCACAGGACATCTGGCCTCGGGCTCTGGCATGTCCCAAGGCTGCAGTTAAAGCCCTCACTCACAACTCTGACCAAGAGCAGATGGTGTTTTCATGCTGAGTGCCTACTGTGGTTCCTGCTCAAAAGCAAAGCTCCTCTCCTGGCACCCTGCTGGGACAGAGCAGGGATCCCTGCAAACACCACAGCAAGGCTGGGTGCAGCCAGCCCTGTGCCAGCACAGCCCTGCAGCCTCGTCCCACTGCAGCCACAGCACCAAAGCAGGGTCCCCTGATGTCCCCAGGTCAAGAATCCACAGCCCAGCTCTGTGTCCTGGCCAGAGGCCGGGGTTCCCTGCCCTCCCAACCCAAACATCACGTACACGGATGATGGAGTTCAGTTCTGGCGCCGTGACCTGCTTAGCTCGTTCAATGGCTCCCAAGACTTGCTGCTGATGCTGGCAAGGAAAAAACAGAGGAATTTGGGGTCACCTGTAGTGCCACAGGGAAGCAGAACAGGGACCCAGTCCACACCATCAGGCTGGCTACCCCACAGCTGGAGACACCTGCACACACTTCACCGAGACAAGGGCCTCCCACCCAGGCCTAGGGCAGCAAGGAGCAGGAAAGGAAGAACTTTTGTCTCATCCTCTTCCTCACCACAGGGTCAAACAGGTCCCCTCTCACCCACACCCTTGTCCTGCTCTCCACACACCCAGAGATCCTTGGCCAGAAGGCTCCAAGGTGGGCAGTGTCTCATCCTGCCACCCTTCACCTACACAGACCCTCTAACAAACAAAACAAGCCCTAAAAATCAGCTCTTTGGAAGCTCCTTGGGACACATCCTGGATATCAACTGCAGCAGTAGCTGGGTGTTCCAAACACAGGCTGAAAAAATGGATGGATCATATATTAAAAAAAAATAAAGGAGAACTGCACTTGCTCCTTGCAGAGCACGAGGTCTCTGAAACACCAGGACTGTCCACTGCACTTCAGCAAGGGGATTTTTCTTTTCATTTTGGCAGCAGGACAGGGTTAAGGATTGCATTAAGATGCAAAAGATTTAGCTGGGGCTTAGTTATTAGGCAACCCTGATCTGATCAGCAAGCGACTTTGCTGTCCTAAGAACAGGTGGGTGGGAAAAACAGAACCTGTGCCCCAAGCCCAGCACTGGCCCCAAGCAAAAAGCCTCCAACCCCCAAAGGGCCAGGAGAGCTGCTCAGGGCTCAGCCTCCATGGAGAGACAGAAAATACAGCTCTGGAAGTGCTTAATCCTCCCCTCGCCTCAGACAGCGACTCCCAAGCACCCCCTCCCCCAATTAATTTCTCAGGGGAGTGGGAGGAGCCCATCAGCTGCATTAATTAATGAGGCAGAGGAACCAGATCTCAAAGAGGATGAGAGGAGGTATCCTCCATATGGAGGTATTTTTTTAAGTGTCCTTCTCCCCTGATTACCACCCAAAGCTGCCCCTGCTGACGTGGCTGATGGCTCAGGAGCCACGGGCAGGAGAGCAGGAGCAGCTTTGTCCCAGCTGCCAGAAAAGGGATGGAAGGGTATTGGAGTTCTGGACACTGAGAATTTTAGACTTTCTGTGCTGACAGACTCTGACTCCCAAGACAGCACTGCATTTGACCTGAGGCTGTGGAGAAAGCTTCCAAAATTTATTGCTAACACTGGAATTATGGGTGTGTAGTTTGATTAGAAGTGTGCAATATTAGAGGGTAGAAAATTTAGAGTTTTAGAATATAGTAATATATAGAGCAAGATAGAAGCTTTAGGGTGGACCAACAGAGGGGCACATTACCCACCACACAGTGCTCCAGGAGCCAACACTGCCTTGAAGGGCTGGGCTGAGAGCAGGCAAGGGTTTGCCAGCCCAGGGGTGGGGAGCTGCCTGTGCTGCAGGGCTGTGACACCTCACTGCCTGCACAGGGACAGCAGCCTCCATGCCAACAAACCCCCCAAGCTGGGGGACTCACCTCTTGTGAAAGGTAGGGCAGAACCTGTGCACAAATCCCATTTAGCCTCTTGACAATTTCAGCCTAAAAGGTGGGAGAAATAGAGAGGAAAAGTCAGGCAGCTCAGGACTGAGCAGCCACAGTATCAGCTGCCCCACCTTCCCTCTTCCTCCTCCTCCTGGCCAGGCCTGAGTCCCCAAAAGGCTGTGAGAAAACCCACCCTCCTGGCAGCATCCTGGTGCCATGGGGATCCCCTTTCCCCCTGAGGCTCCTCCCTGCACGATTAAATGAAGGGATGCTGCTGCAAAGAGCAAAGTTTCATTATTCTTCTTCTTCGCCAGGTCCCCAACACTCATTTAACAAATTGGGAGCAACCAGAGAGCGAAGTTCCTGCAGACCCAGGTGGGGATGTGCTGTTACATCTGCCATGTGGACACAGACATACTCATGGCTGTTCAGCCCCCCCAGGCTCCCCCTCCCCAGCTGAGCTGCTGGGGGAGACCAGAGGGGCTGGGCAGCCTCCTCACCACCCTCACAGCAGCAGTGGCAGCTTCTGGGGTGTGAAATGCTTTTCTCCTGGCAAATAGTAAAGCTAGCAGTCCTTTGCAAATCGCTTTCTAAAGGACTCAAAATACAGAGCCAAAGGGTACAGGTACACACCAAAAGCAGCCGAGGGGACCCCAAGAGCACCACAGGGAAGCAGATCAGGTTGGGAGACATTCGTGGGACAGCAGTGAGGATTTGTGGCTCAGATTCTTCTACAAGATCCAGGTTTTCCCAGGGAAGCCAGTCTCATGGGCTTAGCAACAAGGGCAATGGGATCAGAAGCACCAAGTGCCTTTGTGAGGAACAGAACTGTGCTAAGAGGCTTAAACTGAGCCACGACTTTGTGACTGGAGCTGAAGCCAGATAGAGACAGGCTCAGAGGAGGCTCATGTTGTTAACACCACAGGTAATTAGTCACTGGGGATAATTAACAACTTAACCACCACTGAGGGTAATGAGCAAACTTATCCAGGCTGCCACAGAGTCTCCAAGCTGCAGCTCCAGACCCTGCCTGGTGCTCAAATACCTGTTCAGGCCCTGGGGAGAACCACAGGATGCCCAAGCCCAGGACAGAGCCCACAGGCCAGCACTGTGATCCTGACAGGTGGGGGGCTCTGCATTTCAAAGGCAGCTCTGACATTTTACAGGCTGATGGCATTTCTAGTTCCTGAAAGGCAACCGAAGTGACAGAGGGCAACGCAGAGCAGACAGCCCACCTTCCCCAGGAATTGCAGCACTTGGAGATGCTTTTCTCCCTACCTGTTTGTGCATTTCAATATTCAGCCCGTAGGACATCTCATAGTACTGCAGAGCAGGAGAGAAGAGAACAAAACAAATTGTAAGTCAAGTCTCTGCCAGGTGAGTGCTGGGAAGCACCACTGCATTCCTGGCAGGGTTTTCTACAAAGGCTGGGCAAGGCAGGGGAGCAGAGGCAAGCCCCAGGAAACAAAGGGAGCAGGAGGCAAGCACAGAGACCCCCTCCAAGTGCTCCCTGCCCACCCTGCTCCAGACTGGAGTCTTGCCCCACAGGACTCTCCTCACAGTCTGCACTGAGGTGAGAGTGATGCTGTGTCAAACCTGGAAAAAGGCTCAGGGCTCCAGACTTCCCTAAGCACAGCTGAGAGAGGGAGCCTGGCTCTGTGAGCTCTGCCTGGCCAGTATCCTAAAGCCCACATGACTCCTTCAGCAGCAAATGGGAGAGATCACAACTGGGCTTCATCTAGCAAGTAACACATCCAGCTGCACACAGCTCCAGCTGTTTAGGAAGGAGTTATGTGGAAACCTCCCCCCTCCACACACAAAAACAATCCACCCAGAAAACCCCTGCACAGCAGCAACAGGCAGCTACAGACAATCCATTGGCACAAGCAGCTAATTCCTGACCCCTGGAAGAAACTGTTACAAGGCTGATGTTTTGAGAGTTTAGAAACCTCCTCCTGCAGCCTGCAGGCTGCAATCCTGATTCTTCCAAAGGGAAAAAAACAATCCACATCTGTGCTCATTTAACTGAAGATCACTGGCATCCTGGTACCGACGCCACAAGGCGACGAAGCGCCCGGCTTGGTATCAGAATGATCTCAGCCTGCTGCGGGCTCTCGAGGCTTCTTTGCATTCTGAAGACCGAGCAGGAAGCAGGAGCCCGTCCCCCAAGCTGCCAATTGTGACTTATTCAAAAATCAGAGCAGCTGTAGCAGCTTTGCACATTCGCAGGAGCCCTCCTCTTGGCTCCCCGTGACGGGGAGCGGCAGCAGCTCCGGCTCAGCCACGCAGATGAGGCAGGAGCTGCTGCGCCTGCAGAGCCTCCAGCGCTGCGCCACGAGGAACAGCCCTTCCCCTCTGCTGCTGACAGCAACCTGAATCAATTCTGGTGACTGCCAGCATTAAGGGGAAAAAAAAAAAAAAGAAAAATGTATCTTGGCCACTGCTGGAGAGGAGGGTTTCCGTGCAGACTGCACAGGAAGCAATTGTTTACCAGTGAGAGCAGGGCAGGCTTCACCATTAATACACCAGGAAAGCTGTGACCTCTTCTCCTTGTCCCCAGCCCCAACACACCTTGCTCCCCACAGCCTCAGAGCCTGGCCACGAGGGCACTGAAGGGGCCAGCTAGCTCCCTTATTTCTGATTTTTTTTTAAGTCTTAACTCTGCTCTGAAGAGCTGCTCTATTAATTTCTACATCTTATCTCTTCTTTCCAGGGCAGGTGCAGCAGCTGGCAAGCAGGAAGCAGCTCATTTTCATGGACAGTATTGAAGCCTCCCATTAACTCCATGATAGGAAAGGAAGAGACCACAGCCCTGCCTGGCATCCCTCCCCTGTGCTACAAGGGTTCCAGAGGCATTACCTGGCAGGCAAACCCTCACCCTGCTCACCAGAACATGGCTGTTTTCCTGGAAAGCCACATCCAACCCTGCTGCCCACACGTGGCACCATTTCTCATGCCTTTACCAAGCACTGCCCTGGGGCTTGCACACCCTGTGTGGGACACACGTGCCAGCACTCAGCACCACGGCTCAGCAAGGCTGTGGGGTCACCAGAAGGTGCACAGGGTTTAGCCCAGGCACAGAAGCTGATTTCTGCTTCTAACTCACACCTGGCTTGTGGGGTTTCCCAGTTTCATGACTTCCCAGAGCACTGCTTTGTCTCTCACTGGCCACGACCTTCCCAGAGTCCCCAAACACCTGCACACCTTGCATCACCTTCTCAGGTGTGTAAGAGCTGTCACTTCCTTTGGGCCAAGAACCCACCAAGCAATCCCCCCACCAGGTCCCATTTTCTCCATCAAAAAACCTCCCTCCCACCGTGCATTTCAACAACCCCCTGCATGCAGCCAACACAAAACAGCCCCATTTTCAGAAAACAGCCAATTCCAGCCCTGCTGAGAGCCCTGGAGCCCTGTGGGGCGTGGGCTCCCTGCCAGGCAGAGCCCAGGCACCTGCTGGTGCTGCCACCCACACACTCTGCTCTGGGCTGCTGGGCCAGTCCTTACCATGACGTAGTGACGCTGCATCTCCGATTTCTCGCTGGCTAGTTTGTCACATTCCAACTTCAAGCTGAAAAGCCAGAAAACAGTAAGAAAACCACAAACAGGAGGTGAGAGAGTTGATCGCCACAGAGCAGCTGCTTCCTGCATGGCCTCATCCCGGCCAGGCTGGATTCTTGGACATCGCTATCTGGACTTCAAGGGGTGGCCAGAGCAGAGCCCAGACAGACTGCTGGCACAGCAGTGACCACACAGAGCCTGCTCCTACTTTCTCAGCTGGAGCCCTCCCCAACACACAATCAGGAAAAGGACACAAGGGAATCCACCAGCAGAGCACTGACCTCCCTCAGGCAAATCCATTCCACAGGAAGCAGAATGCTGGGGAGAAGCAGAGTTGGCTGCCCAGAGAGGGGTTTGCCTTTCCTCAACAGATCGCTGGCAGCTGGGGACAGATTCTGGCACAGAACCTGTCTGCAGCACTCAAGAGATGTTCCAATACAACATCAAAACCAAAGCCAGACCCACTTCTGGATGGGGGCTGGGGGGGGGAGGCCCAAGTGCAGCACATCCCTCCAGAAGCAAGGATTCTTCCTCTCTCCTAGATTCTTCACACCCTTCAGAGAAAGTGCCGCTGCTCCCAGTGTTTTATGAGACTCCAACTCACCAGCCGAGCAACTGCAGCCAGCATGTGCTGTGGTTTTATGTTTCAAACAAGAAACAGCTTCACCTACACAAAACCTGCTCCTTCTTGAGCAGATTAAGTCCAAGGGGGTGGAGCGGCATGGGGGGAAAGCTTCCCTTTCAGCAGGAACCCCTACTCCCCTGCTGGCACTGCCAAGGCACAGAGACACCAGGAAATGGCCACTTCCCAGCAGCTTTTCTGCATGCTCCTGCCAAAATGACACCACCACAAACTTGCAACCTGCCCGCAGGCAGAGCCCGGGCTGGGGGACATTGCAGCCACATGGCACCAATGCACACAGCAAAACCAGCGCCAGGCTGTGGCAGAGGGCATCACCCAGACAATTTCAACCAAAGGGCTTCATGTTTATGTCAGACACACTCACACACGCAAAGCAACAGATTGTCTCAAGCCAGCTTTTGGGTCACCAGCACTATTTCCACACACACACACTGAAAAGTAGATGCTTTTGGATTTAAGTGCTCCCTGCAGTATTTGCAATCCAGGAATGGCAGCCAGCGAGAAAAACCGAGGAAAACTCCCAGCAAGAGGCAGGAGGCCTGGCAAGTGTCTGTGCAGTCCTGGCTGAGCAGCACTTGGAGGAAAGACCTTGGCTGGAGAAGGGAATGGGCGTTCTCCTCGCTGGGCTCCCATGTGGACACGACCAACGCCGTGCCCGAGGTGCTCCTCCAGCCAAGGGTGTCCCAAGCTACGCGGCCGGCTCCCCTTCCCCAAATTCTCATCCCGTCCCCGGAGCGAAGCAACGAGCAGAAGAACCGGAGCGATTCCCGTGCACCGGCCGGCCCGGCGGGGCTGCGGGACGGGCCCGGGGGCAGCACGTACCTGTGGTACTGGGCCTGCAGCAGCTGGAACTCGTCCTTGATGCGGTCGCACGAGTCGGAGGTCGTGAACTTCAGCTGCTGAGGCAGGTGAGAGGAGCCCTTGAACAACAGGAGACAGCGCTGGGGCCGGAGCCGGCGGCCGCCGGGCCCCCCCAGCCCCGAGCCCGCCCCGCTCTCGCCGCACCGGGGGCCGAGCCCCCGCCGGGGGCAGCGCCCGTGCCCGGGACGCGCCCAAGGTCACCCGTGGGGCCCCTTCCCCGGGTGCCGCCGCCCCTCGGCACCGGCCGCGGCTGCCGGCGGCGGGAGGCGCTCGATCCCCTCGACCCCGCGGGGCCGAGGGAGGGCCCCTCGGAGCCCCGGCCCGGCGGAGCCCGCGGGGCAGGCCCAGGTCCGGCCGGCCTGAGGCGGGTCCGGAGCCCCGCGCCGGCCCTGGCCGGGCACTGAGGCCGCTCGCCCTTCGCGGCTCGTTTTCTCGCCCTTCCCCGAGCAGAACAGGGTTTTTTTTTTTTAACCCAGAGTTTCGTTTTGCTTTCTTTCAGCGTTGCCCTTGCAGAGAGTGAGGGAAGGCAAAGGAAAAAGGCAATTCACCTGCAGCTGGCCCCCAGAGAAACCTCTGATCTCCAAACAATGGAATATTCTGCTCTGGGTGCAAACTTTGGTCCTAAACCTGCTGCCTGAGGAGCAGACCCTGCAGCTCGTGTCCCATGGGATCGATTGCATCCCCCAGAGAGCAGTGGGGTGGGGAATTCAGCCTCTGACTTTATTTCTGGAAGGACTTTGTTGCCGTGGGGCCTCTTGCAAAGCCACGCACACAAATGTGCCCGTGCTGGGGCAGGATCAGCTCCTTGGAAGCCATTCGGAGAATAACGGGCAGGAACACGGACGGTACATGTGAGCACACAGGGAGCTTTCATACACTTTGGATGTTGCTCCATGTCTGTCTTTAAAAATCAGTACATTTTCTGCTTAAAAATAAAACCCTACACGTCATGACTCCAGCGATGTGGGCTGGCCTGTTGTATTTATTTTTAAAAATAACAATATAGCAGCTGAGTTATTGTGACACCTCCTGCATATTGTGCAGTAGCTTTTTCACTTCAACATCTCCATATTAGTGGAAACTGTGACAGCTTCATGCCAAGGATTATTAATAGTGCAGGCAGGCTTCGTGTCCCTGCAGAATAAGGGTTGGAAAACAGGGCAGACAGTCTTCCCCCAGTGGGGTTGGCATCCTGGTCCCCCTTTTTACGTGGAGAGAAACTGAGTCACCCCAGCTTAGGCTCTGCTCAAGGGCAGAGAAATGCAGTTTATAGTCAGGGTGAATGCAGCCAGAGCAGGTCCCTGCTGTCCCCTTCCCCTGGTCCAGGAGCAGCACAGGCACCCTGCCCTACCCTTGCAACAGCTTGCAGTCACTCCCTTCCAAGTGGGAAATGAAATGCTCCTTTATTGGCATTGCTGTTGGCTACAAAATGTTCCATTTTATCTTTTTTTTTTCTTTTTTTTTTTTCCTTTTTTTTTTTTTCCCCTCTCTCCTTACATTCTTCCAGGAAACACTCTAATTTATGGTATAATCTTGGCAAATCCCAATCCAGGGGAACACAAACTCGCTTGTGCCTGGTAAATGACTTTTTAATGGGCTTGTTTCCAGCTGGGCAATGCACCTGCATCTGAAGAAGAGGGGGTTTTAGCCTGGCCCAGGCTGTGTGAATCAGGGGCTGGATATGGTCTGGGCACAGAGGAGGTGGCCCCAAACACAGCCTGGCGAGCAGTGGGAGTTCCCACAGCCCACCTCAGTCCTGGCTTGAGAAATGAAGGTTTTTCCAGCACAGGAAAGGGAGCTCTGTGTGGGAGCTCTCCAAGTGAACCAACATTTCTCTGCTGCAAAGCTGTTTGAAGGCAATGTGGGGAAGCCCCTCACACCCTCAACATCTTGGTCAGGAATAAAGACTCTTGCTACAACCAGGGCTGGCTCAGGGTTGGGCATGCAGGTGGGTTTCCAGAAAGCCATGGGGGACAGAAAGGGCAGAAATATTTTGCATTTCTAATGGAGCAAGGAGCTGTCCCAGTCCCTGGCCCCACTGGAACAATTCATACAGGGATGTCCTAATGAAACCAGAGAAACTTCCTATTCGTTCCTAAAAGGAGCAGTCTAACAAAGCTGCCAAAAATAAATCTGTGTAATGAAGAGCCTTTGTAAATTATTCAGATATTATATCCCACTCCAGCACTGGTTCAAGGAGAGAGGTTGTACAGACATTTTCTGCTCTGAAGCTCTGGACACAAGGTGAAAGCCATGCTGTCATTATTATGAAAATGTAGGCTCTGAGGTCCTGCTTTCACCCTGAGAATACTCTCTCTTTTACCTGGAATTAAAGAGGAAGAAATAAAAAAGGCGCAGCAGCAATTCAGGCACTGAGGCAAGGAAGGTTTTCTCCCTTTCTCCACAGGCTCAGGGTCTCTCTTGAGTGCCATCACCTCAGGCTGACCACACACAGGGGCTTTGCAGGACTCTGAGGAACGTGGGGCACTGCACAGCCCAGAGTGGCACGGACAGGACCCACGGGGTGTGGGGTGGCTCAGCCCAGCCACTCCTTTGCTTCTCACTTGTGCTTTGAATGCTGTGGCCTCCTTCCAGTAGAAACAGGGCTGAGACCCACCAAACTCATTAAACTTCAGCTGCCCTTGATCCCCCACCTGCCAAGAAAGCCCAGTCCCTCCCTGGGCTGCAATCCCCCTCTATTCAGACATCTGTGAGGCATTTTACAAGAGCCAGCAGCTTGTGGGCTATTAGCCACAGCCAGCCCCATGCCACACTGCTGGGGCTCACAGAGTTCTCCCCCTCCTGCTTCCCCAGCCCCTCTTTGCCAGCAGCAGGGCTGGTTCCTGATTTTTTTTGTTTTGTTTTGCCCAGCCCTGCCAGGTCTGTGCCACCTGGGATGGGATGGGCTGGCCAGGACCGGTGGGGGATGTTGAGCACTGGACCTTGACCCCCTGCCACATCCAGGCCAGACTGTCCCTTATCCTCCCTCCTGTCACAGGAATTATTGGCTTTTGATATTAAACTTTCTCTAGATAGCATAGCACAATCAGCCAGACACAGGCAAGGGCTGGGCAGGCCCGGCAGTGATTTACACACAACCTGCCTCTCAAGTCTCTCTTTCACATAAGGGGCTGTTTTCCTTCTCTCCTTCACCACCTCCCAACTCTCCTGCTGCTGTTAGGAGCTGTGCAGGTCTCCCTGCTGCAGAAAAAGGCTGGAACGAGCAGTGGGGCTGCACAGGCTCCCAGAGAGCCAGAAGAGGCACGAGCGTGGCACTGGCAGGGCACAGATGCCACCAGCAGCGCTGTCCCTCACCCCCATCACCCCCCAGCCCCAGCTGCTCCATCCCCTGGGACACCCAGGTGCCCCTGATGGGACACAGCAGGGTCCCAGCACCTCAGTGCCCACATGGGCAGCAGACAGGGCATTTGTTCTGCACTGTATGCCCATGGTTCCGTGCTCATTTCCTGCTGAAACTGTCTTGCTGCTTGCTCTCAGAGGCAGAAATGAACAGCAACCCAAATTCCTCGCCTACACCAAGAAGAAAAATGAGAAACTGTCCCTGGATGTGCATAAGGTCCGAGCCAGGAATGGTCTGTAGGCAGAAAGAGCAGCCTTGGTCCAGGCAGGCTTTTTACAGCTGGTAAAACATTCCTACCCTCTTTGATCCCGTTTTATCAGTGACTTGGAATAATTGGGCTCCATTCCTCGTGGTGGCTGCCCCCCACCCCTCCCTTCTGCTGTGGCCTGTGTTTTTGCTGCAGACTGATTAGGGGTAATTATCATCCTTTTTACCAGCCAAAGTGCAAGGAACAGTTCACACTCCTTGCAGGAAGCAGGAAAGGGATTTTGCAGCTGAGCCGTGATTAGGAAGCACATGGCAAGGATGCCTGAACCTGCTTGCTCCCTGGGTGGTGTCCCTGAGGCATTTGGTGGGAGATAAGCAGGAAATTTGGAGCTGTGAGACAGTCAGGAGGTGCAGGGGAATCCACTGACCCTTTGGTCACGAGAAGCTTCCCAGCACAATCAGTTTGCAGAAGCCGTGTGTGAATCTCTCTGCGTGTGAAACGCAAAGGGAGCCTGGAGGGAGCGACCCTCGGCGCTGGGATGGGCAAAGGAGCAGCTCCTGAGCAGACCCACCTGTGCTGGGGGCACGCCAGGGTCAGGACTCTCCCCTCCCTCCTCTGGCTCCCTTGCTGGACGAAGGGAGGAGCCAGACACCAATTTTAGGGTCGAAAGGATCAGCCAGGCTTTCCTGCTGGCTCGCGTGAGGCAGATTCCTCCTGCCCCTGTGCAGGATCAGCGTTCATCTACTGCGCTGGAGCTGCAGCAAATGCATTTCTGCAGCAGTTTCTGAGGTTTGCACAGGGAAGACAGACTGCTACACCCTTAAGAGCCTTTCTGTACTCGGCTAGTTCAGCAGCACTCCTCCAGGTAGGGAGAACATTTCTTCCTGACCTCAATTTATGACAAACACTGAAGCATGAGGCTGGATTGATTGCACAAGGAGATTGTGTCTTAGTAACTTGTGTGAATGCTGCAGCAGCTATGCTAATTCATCATTCCTTTATTTATGAAATCTGTGTGCAGGTTGAGTGCAATTAAATGATGTGTTTTGGGATCGTAGGGGATGAAAGGATCACAGAAAATGTAGGTTTGTTATCCTAGTTTACTGTGCACTGAGCCCACCTACAACACCATGACAAACCAGATGTGAAACAGAAGGTTTAAAAAAACTAATCCAGCAATTGCTGTCACGGGCTGCATTTGTCAGCGTTGTTTGATCTCAGTGCCTTTCCCCCTCTGTTCAGAGAACTCCAATCTCGTGGCATCTTCCTGTGACAGGCAATTGAAGAACTTGTAAAATTAATTTTGGGGGAGGATGAAACATTTGACACGTGCTCTGCAGCTGGGTCCCTGGTCCCCATCAGCACCCAGAGAGAGTGCAGACACATTCCTCCTTTGAATATCACAAGAGAAGGAGGCTCTGCAACCACTCTGGGCAACCTGTGCTGTGTCAGCAGCACAGCAAAGTTCTTCCTCATGTTCAAGGTGGAACTTGCTGTGCATCAGCTTCTGCTCATTGTCCTGTTGCTCAGCAGCTGGGCAGAAACTGCTCCATCCCCTGGCAGCTCCCTTCAGATATTTATGGATATTGGTAAAATCCCCTCTTGGTCTTCTCCAGGCTGAGCACACCCAGCTCCCTCAGCCTGGCAGTGTGGCAGCAGTTCTTTGGCCACAGACAGAAACAGATAATGTTCACAGGTATTATTCTGGGAAAAGATCATTATTTCCCAGGTATTATTCTGTGAGAAGATCAGAGAAAAGAATGAGAAACAATTCTTATCTTGTTGTACCTGGTATTGTGAACATGTGGAATGTGTTATGGAGATTTGTTTACTAAAGGCTGGTTTCCTAATTAACTAATGGTGATGGTGTTTTAATTAAAGGACCAATCAAGCACACCTGTATTGTAACTGTCTCTAAAAGAACAATGGGTTTCTTATTAAAGATTATTATTGATCAGCCTTCTGTGAATCATGATGGAGTCTATGCCAATTATCACCCAGCCAGGGGACATTGCCATTTTATGGCAGGATCACCCCCTGACCTGCTGGCAGTGCCTGCTCCCCTCTGGAACCCACAAAGAGCTAAGAAATGGGGCCAGAATGGAGAAAAGGGATGGCACTGTGCTGTGTCTGCATCTCCACGGCCTTGGGATCCCATCTCCATGGCCTCTTCCTCTCTGTAAAGAAATGGGGGAGATCTCTGGGCTCAGCATTAACTGCTGCAAATGTGGGCCATGGGAGCAGCTGCTCTGGAAGTGGCCTGACACCTTCAGGATCAGCTTTCTGCAGGAACAGGGACATGGAGCCCAGGGAATTGCACTGGTGACAGAGCTGAGGGAAATCTCGGGGCTCCTGGGAACCCTGTGAGCACCAAAACTTTTCCATTAGCACAGAAAGGGAGGGAGTGGATGGGCTATTGTTGCTTGGAGACTGGCAGTTCTGTCATTCTTAAATCACACTTTGATCAGGATTCATCAAAACTCAACGTCTGTGGACCCAAACTTCCCATCAGCAGGAGCCAAGCAAGTGCTCCAGAGGCTGGATGCAAATTTTATTTCCCCTTTTCTTTTGGCAAACTGTGGAAATTTCCTCAGGACCTGCTGACCTTTAGATTTTCATCCTGCCTAGGAGAAGGCAACCAAAACAAGTTTCCAACACGCAGCACCTCGTGGTTCAGAGCAGCCCAGCAACCCCAACCTGGGGCTCTTCAGCAGCCCCAGAGTGTCACCTGTGTCACCCTCACAGCCTGAGCACATGCAAGGAGCTCCAGTGGTTTGTCCACTCAGGGCAGAGCTGCAGGGGTTGCAGGAGCTTCAGTCCCCTTTAGGACTGTCCAGGAGTTCCCAAGGGCAACAGGTAACAGCCACTGTGGCTGGGATCCTGGGTGTGCTGAGCACTTCTGTCTGCTGAATAATTCTCAGCTACCAAAGCAAAACGAGCAGGTGGCCTTTGCCAGAGGTGTGTGATGGGGGAGGAACAGTCCTGCTGGCTGTGGGGTACCTGGGAGGGAAACAGGAGCATGTAAAAAAGGGAGGTCAGTATTGATGATGCTAAAGGCCAAACTATGAAAAAAAAAAAAAAAGTTAGAAACTTCTTTTAACTGAGGTAAAGAACTCATGGGAATAGCACAGGTATAAGGAAGAATTTAAGTGGAAAATAGAACCTGTTGTTTGTGAGTATCTTGAGCCAAACTGCCAAGAGGTAAGGACTGGCACACCACACTGGTAACGAGAAAGGCAGGTATGGAACAGCGCTGTGGTGCTTTTTTGGACCTTCCAAAAGACACTTTAGATACAGACCCCGGGCAAGGCAGGGTAGGAGGGGTGTGTGTGTGTGTGGAGTCCAGGTGCTCTGCCTGGGGCAGGGTCCCACAGGGCACAGGGGCTGCACTGGCAGCACAAGAACCAACACAGGGCCGTGGATCGGGGAGGCACCAGGCTGCTGGCTGGAGGAGCTCTCACAGGTCAACAGCACCTGGGAGGAAGCAATGAGGAAACCGGGGCCAGAGGCGGCTGCGAGAGGCGCTGTGTGCAGAGACCGAGGGCTGGGAGCGGCACCGAGAGCTCGGCGGGCAGGCTCGCTGCGCTCCGTGGGACACGGCCGGAGCCTGGAGCACAGGGCCGGCCCGCCGAGGCCCCAGCCTCTCCCTGCTCGGTCTCTAGGGCTGGGCTGCCGGGGTCCGCGGGCTGAGCCGCGCTCGCCCCACGCAGGTCGGGCCCGGCCCGCTCCGGGCACCCGCTGGCGGCTCCGAGCGGCGCGGGACCAGCCGCAACGTCCGGGGCGCGGGCCCGCCCTGTGTCGCCATCCCAGCGGCCGCCAAGGCCCTGCCCGCCCGGCGTGGCCCAACCGCGGGCCCGTAGAGGGCGAGGGGAGGCGGCGGCTCCGCGCTCGGCCCGGCCGCGCCCGGTCACGGGAGGGTCCGCTCCCAGCCCGGCCCGCCCCGCCATGGGCGCCCGGTCCGCCACCTTCCCACAATGCCCGGCGGCCCCGCCCCGCTCCAGGAACGCGCGTCCGTGCGCCCTCCTCCCTCGCCCCCCCCCGCGACCGGCCAACCAAACCCTGCGCTCCTATTGGCCGCGGCGCCGCGTCCCGCCCGTGCGGGCCCGCCCCTCTGCGCGCCGCGCTCTCCCATTGGTCCCTGCCGCTGTCAGTCAGCGCTTGTTTTCGGCGGCAGCGGGTTGGGTTGCGCCGGCTCGTCGGTGTCTCGGCGGAGCCGTGCGGAGGGAGCGGCGGCGCAGCCGGGCGAGAGCGGCGCGGGGGCGGCGGCGGCGCTGGCGCTGGGCCCGGCCGCAGCACTCGGGGCCGGGGCGAGGCCGGGCCGGGCCGGCGCCGCGCAGGGCGGGAGGGTGGGGAGGGAAGGGGGCGCGGGACGNGGAGCCATCCCCGCCTCAGCCCGGCGCTCGGGGCCGCTCCCGAGCCGTGCGGGGCGGCCGCCTCATTGGCTGCCCTTTGTTTGATTTTGTGATGCGTTCGCTGTCAAAATGGGTTTTGACACGAGCAGGAACTAAGTGGCTGGAATTCCTGGTTGTGAAGGCGGGCACGCACAGGGGCGCGTGAAATTTGTCTCGAGGGGACGATTCTCAGCGGTGCGCTGGCCTCGGCTGGCGTGTGGGAATCCGCTGGTGGAGTTGGTGCTTTTCAGGATTGTCGGTGAAGAGCTGTGGAAAAACGTGCCCGCAGCTCCTGAAGCACAGAGTTTCCCCCTGGGGCAGGGCTGGGAGCGGTGTGGTGGCTCTGCAGGGGACGGGGCAGGAGGAATCCACTGGATTGTGTGTTGTGTGCTGGGTGAGGAGGTGCCTGTGGTGTTCGGAGGTGGAGATCACCTGTGCAGCCGTGAGAATCTAGGTCTTGGGGTGGAAACAGGAGTGTTGCCGTGCTGGTGGGTAACTGTGCCGTGTTCAGATGAGTTTACAGGGATGGGGAGTCAGCTGCGAACTGAGACTTGCAGGCGTGTGCCTCCTCCTTCAGCAGTGAGTTTGATGTTCGTGCCTAGGTAGCCCCCAAATTTAAACTGCAGTTTCAGTTTTCATGCATGCTGTGATTTAGAATTGCTTGTGTGTCAGATATGTCCTGCTTTGTGTCATGAATACTGTATCGTCTTGAGATGAAATCGAGCGGATCTGATGGATCTGTTGACAAGCCATTAAGGTCCAGATGAAGAAGGAGGCTGACCCTTGTGAAAAAAAAAAACCAAAAAGCCCACTTTGCAGAAGTGGGGAGGCTGTGTGTGCCCAGCCCCTTGGAGGGCTCCAGTACCCACACTGTGCCTGGTGATAGCTGTCAAGTAAACCCCAGGGCTTTCCTTCTCACCCTGAACCCTTCACAATTAATGTATTGCTGTTCTTTGTGTGAAAGGTAAAATCGAGGGCTTCACATTTCTGCTCTTTGGAGACGCTGTGGCAGTTTCTGTAAGGCTTCTTGGAGGTGTCCCTCACTCTCATGCTTCCCTAGAAGCAGTCCCACAGAAGCAGCTGTGTCAAAATAGGTTGTCGCTATAGGATAGATCTGGGTTAAGAAGATCCCACTGGATCTAAATATTTCACTTTAGAAAGAATTCAAATTGCTCAAGAATCCTTTCTGCTTTTCTAAAAGATACAGATCCTGCATCAAATTAAAAAAAAATATATAGAAGGTGGTTATTAATGGATAAGCAACACTTCTGGGTGTAGACAATTTTTGCAGGATGCTTTTCACTGGGCACAGCACGTTGCCCACCTTCAGCTGGCACAGGTAACCTGTGTTCTCTCTCCCTGCTTGCAGGGATTTCTTCTGTGTTGCTCCTGTTCTATGCAGTTCTTATATTCATAAGTATTAATGACTGGCTTAGTGAGAGGGCTTTCCCAAAATCTCCAAAATTTTGAGTGGGCAGAGGGAGTTTCCACCTTGTAGAAACTGTTACATTTTTCTTGTCACTACATCTGGTGACAGTTACTTTGTTGAAGCCTGAAACAGAAAATTGAGGTGAAGGATAACAGTGCTAATCAATGATGAACCTGTTAATAAGAAATTCAAGGTGTTGGACATTGCCATCTGGTACAAGGTAGTAATTTGTCTTTTTACTGGGTGGGGAGGATATTTTATACAAAAATTACTTGTGATTAAGCATGGGGTACTGTTGACTGAGCAATATATTTATTGGGGGATCATTAGGAAGTTACTGTAAACTCTGCTGCTTTCACGTGTTGGCAGAAGTGGTGAATTCAGATTGTCTCCTGTCATATTATGTATATAAAAAAAGGATTTTGTGCCCTGAGAGTTGTGGATCTTGCCCACCAGAGCTTTGTAACCTGCTGGTGTAGTGCTGTGCCTCAGGGAAAGCAAAAGGCAACTTTAAAAAAACCCAAAACCAAACCAAAAACCCACCACCAATAAGCAAAACCAACCCCCAAACCAAAAAAGGGCAGTGATGGAGTGACAGGAAGAATCTGTCTTTGAACTCTTAAGTCCTGAAGCAAGCAAAGTTCTGGTGTTGAGGGTTTTTTTTTATATTTTCATTGTTGAAATGCTTTGAAGCAGCACCTTTTTTTTTTTTTCCTCTCAGTTTTGGTCACTGTGGTAAAAGACAAGGAAGTATTTCTCACCACACTGACAGAAACCACAAAAGATCTCAGTTTCCAGTTTTTGCCCCACTTAGGGTGCACCTTTGTATTCAAGATGGAGATGGTTTGCTGCATATTGATAATGTCTACAGTGTTAATTTCTGGCTCTGCTGACGTGATTTCTGTCAGTTCTTGCTGTTCATTTCAAACATTTTGCTTCTAGTTGGGTGCTTGTTGCTTTTTATCTGAGCATTTTTATTTGTTTGCCTTTTAGCCTACCAAGATAAAATGAGTAACTGGGTATCTACATAGGAATATTAATTGTGTATTGGGATGAATGAGATCCTGTCTGAATCCATCTCTCCCCTGGTGTGAGGAGGATCTGGTGGTGCCTGTGGGGAGAGCCAGGGCTCTGCCAGCATTTTAACTCCAGGTCAAAAGGATTTGTATCACTGACATGATATATTTTGAGTTTTTGGTCTCGGTATTCAGGTGAGCTGGGCCACTGTGTTAGAGAGTGTGGGTTTTTTATCAATATCCTGCATAATGGTAGCAAATTTTAGCAGATGGAACAAAAGCACTCCACAGCAACGTAGTGGTGTCCATTTAGGCTGCTGAAATGTGGAGCTGAGCCCATCCCAAGGGGGACCTGGCCCGGGTGTCCCCTCCACAAAGGACTCTGCGCACGGAGCGATGTCACCAGGGACGTCCCACTTGAATTGTGAATTTAGCAGCTCTCTGTCACTGCTTGGATGCTGTCTGACGGCGTTTCTCTCTCCTGCTCACCCTGTTAGAAAGTTCCCACTGTCCTTTGGTATCATTCACATGCCGAGTGACACTCCTGTGGGGCCATAAATGTAGGAGTGGAAGGACCTGCCCGGGTGACGGTGCAGGAAGCGCTGCCCTGTGCCGTGTCCTGCCCTCCCATCTGCTCCCAGCCCGGCAGTAAAACCTGAAAAAGAAGGAAGAGAAGGAAGCAGTGGCCTTGCTGAGCAGGCTGCAGCCCGTGGGGACCCAGGCACGGCACCGACAGCTGGAGCAGTGGCCTACTCTGCTCTCCCTGCCAGACGCCATTTTTAACTCCCTCGCATCCAGAGCAGGATCGCAGCAATCCTGCCACAGGCAGGGTGTGGGCTCAGCCCCGAGGAGCAAACCTTTTGTGCTGCCTGGTTTGTTCATGGCAGATAGAGTTTCTTGAGCTCAGTTCTCCTCTAGAGTTGATTTATTTTTTTCCTGTTGCGTTTGGTTCTTCCTTGTGAAAAGACGCGGCGCGTGTAAGGCAAAGAACGTTTTGTGCCAAATTAGAACAAAACAAAATTTGCTGTTTGCTGGGCTTCTCCTGGCCATTCACTGCTGAATCTGTGAGAGTGTGTCCAGGCCCTTCCTGGCTGGTTGTAGCATCTTGCAGGAGTATCTGGGAATAGGTCAGGTGTGACGGGCAAGGGCCTCTTGACGCAGGACGTGTGGGAGTGGCTGTAACGTGAGATTTGGAATAAGTACCAGAGCTACTTTTGAAGGCTGCTGTAAAGGACAAGGTGTCTTCCTTCCATGCTGCTGGGTCCCTAACCATCCAGGCTGCCTTTTTATCAGTCTGGGAAGTGACAGAAAGAGGGTTGGGAGTGATGTGTGCTTGGGTGTAGCGATAGGAACTTTCATCTCTCATGGATTTTGCTGCTGCTGGCTCCTAACTCACTCTCTTGCATCCTGTAGGCACTGGGGAGAGCGGGAAAAGCACGTTCATTAAGCAAATGCGTATAATTCATGGCTCAGGCTACTCTGAAGAGGACAAAAAAGGCTTCACCAAGCTGGTGTACCAAAACATCTTCACTGCCATGCAGTCTATGATAAGAGCCATGGAAACCCTGAAGATTCTGTACAAATATGAACAGAACAAGGTAAGTTTGTCAGTTTTTGCACATGTCTTTAGTCAGTGAGGATTTTGAGTTCTTGTTTCTTTATGTCTTTTTGCACTGCAACCTCAACCTCCCTGAACTCTTTTCTATAAACTTTTTATGACATTTTCTTGATACCCAACTCCTTTTACTTGGTTGTGTTGAGGGATTGAACAAATTTGCATGGTCGGTGTACTGGTGTGCCTAGTGAGTGGTGGGAGCAAGGGATTGGGACATGAAGGGATAGGAGTGGTATGATTTTTACTCATGTCAAGGATTCAGGGTTGTTAAATGTGTTGGCATTTTCTTTGCATTTATCGCTGTTCTTATTGGAACTTGAAACTGGCAAAATATATGCTGGACCCAAAAGACACAGACCTGTGCTGGTAGTTACCCCTGGTTCTGTTTTTCTGATAGCTACTGAACAAGGGTACAAACATTTCTTGGAGAATTTCAGTCTCAACCACAGAAACATACTGATTTTGGGACCAGGAATTAATTTTAGACAGATCTGAT